AATCATACAGTCACACTAATTTTTATTCGTACAGTACAAGATAGCGTTTTCGTACAGTACAGTTTATATGTATACTCCGTACCGTCATATCTCTAGCATTGTATCTATATACATAACACAAAAAAGGATTTATACCCGTGACCTAACCCTAACTTTTACCAATAAAAGCAATTTCGACCGTCATATCTCTAGCATTGTATTTCAACGAAATCCAGTTTCGTTCACCAATCAACTCTTAGAAAGGTCGTGTGAACGAACCTGTTGGATAAAAATATATCACATAATATTACATAATTGCACAGAATGGCAAAAAAGATATCACATTAAGACATACAAAATTTGGAAAAAATCATCCTAATTGTTATCGGAAAGATTCAAAAAATAATCAAAAAAACCAGTTGGTCTAACTAAAAATATTACATGACAGAATTCATATATAAATATCAAAATCTGGGATTTATCAAAGGAAAAATGCGGAAAATACAAAAGTTATAAATATTCTATGTTTGTCAAGCATCCTCTGCTTTCTTTTTTATTTCATCAATCATAAAAATATAAAAATTCTTCAAATTATTATACCTTTAAAAAATAAAATAAAAAATTCAATATGCCAAGAACCAGGTACGCTCAAAATGCGTGTACAAACTGTGCAAAAGCCAAACGAAAATGTTTTCGAGAAGGTTTAGATGTTTGCAACCGTTGCAAAAACCTCGAGAAGAAATGCACTAAAAAAATCCAAAAAAAACGAGGTAGAAAAAAAAATATGAACATTCAAGAAAACGATATGGGACCATTTAACCTAGGTTACGTGTTTAGCGAGGCGGAAGGTTTGTTATTTATTTATTTTTCAAATTTTTATTATCTACTATGACTAATTATCAACTTGTTAATTTAAATATTAGCCCCAGTTTCGCACGAATTTCAATAAAGAACAAATTAAATAGCATTTATTCGCAAATTAAGACAAATATTAAGATATATATATTCCGTATTTTTTTTTACTTAATTTTCCGCTCAATTGCATTTTTTAATACTTCCACATATAGTAATACACAGTACAATATTATTACAAGTGGAGACAATGAGTAGTTTCGATTTTTATTCTATTATGAAAATTTATTTCCTTTTTTCTTTGTATTATTGATAATTGCATAAAATTTTGAAATTTAAATCAAAAATATTTTGTAATTTAATGTTTCAAAATAAATAAATAAATAAACAGTAATGATAAAAAATGCAATTAATTTATCTAAATAAAAAAAAATTGATGCCTATATTGTGAACCTGTTTTTGTGTTTTTACTTACTATTTTAATTTGAAACCCTATATTTGAATATAAACTATTTATTTATTCATGATAAAGATATGAGAGCAGTTGTAAAGTCAAGGTGTGAAATTAAAGATGTGATTTTACAGAGGGAAATTTATTAAGTATTAATACGTATTGGATTTTAAAAAGGTGTGAATTTATGGAGGGTGTAAAATTATATGGACTGTATTTCGATTCTTGAAAATACATAAATGTTTTGTCCAGTAAAATTATGGGAAAAAATATTTTGGCAATAATTATTATAATTAATTATGTTTCTCGAAAAAAGGATAATTAAGTAATAAATAATAATAATATAATCCAGATTATGCAAAATTTTTTATATATAGTCTATAAAGAATATATAATTATCCACGTGATATTTTCACAGACTATAAAATTCCGGCAAATTTAATTTTTAAATACACACAAGATAAAATATAGGCGATACAATTGAAATATTAAACTAATATCTATTTAAAATTAAATGTAACTTCATTTATACTATTTAAACTAATCAATGTGACGCTCTTTTTTTAATCATCAAAAAATAATATCTTGTGGTATATCCATTACAAATTTAATGTTTAAAATATTAGACTTACGGTATATAGTTTAATTGACACATTTCAATAAAATATCTTAGATCACAATTTTATTGATAAAAGTCCACCCAAGTTCTATTTTAAGGACATTACTTTACTATAAAATATTATTTACATATATTTAAAACGTGGTAAAGATATATCAATTTATTGCATTTATTGTATGTATTATTGTAATTATTTTATATATGTGTATTTTTAATCAATTTATTGTAAAAATATGTATTATTTCTTTCTGAAAAGATTAAAAGTTTATGTAACGTTTTTAATTTACACGACCTGAAATTTTCCGACGATTCGTCATGACAAAAAATCGATACCCTTTAAATTAATTGTTCAAGGTTGGAAATCTAAAAATCTAAATAAGGAAATCATGCGAATGTGGTGCATAAAACCGCTCATATGTGTTACAGTACATTAATGTCTTGATACTAAAAATAATAGTATGTAGCGGAATTTTTAATCTTAGTTTAAACATCATATAGAGTATTAATTATATTAAATTTAATTTGAAAGATGAATGAATGCTATTAATTTAGATAAATTAATAATTGGTTATAAATAAATAAAATGATGTATTGTTCAAATTATCATAACAAACCTTCAGTCACATTAAATTTATAATTTTGATCGAATAGAAATATCATTTTGTTCTTGAATTGAGAATTGTCTTTTTTGTACTTTCTGCCACGTTTTATTTTGAATTCTTAAAGTACAAATTCTTGCGCGAAATTTACAACATGATTTCGTAGTTTTTCATTCACACTTTTTTTTCGCATTTGCGCAACTTATACAAGCATTTTATGTATATTCTTTTTTTTAAACCATTTTAGAGAATATCGTTTTTAATAAAGATCCAATTTTTTTCAAAGGATTCTTTTGATGGAGATTAATTAAAAATTATTTACTAATAATTTGAAAATAACTCAAAAAGTTAAGGGAAATTGATAAAATATTTAAAATATTATAATAATCTGTAATTTAATTATAATAATTTAAAAGATTGATTATCTTAAATTGAAGTAAAAAAGGCAGAAACGAAAACCAAATGATTAACTATTTATAATTTTTTAATTTCCCGCTTTGAATTAATTGTTTTGGTGTTGTAGTCGAATTTTTATGGGATTCAGCATGTCATGTGAAAACCATATTTGTCACTTTTTATGCTGAATTTTAATTTTCTTTTAAAATTTTCTTTAATTAATTTTTCATCTTGATTTTGATTATATATATTTTAATTTTCTTAGGAATGTGATATTTTTAATTACGACTTAACTATTATTATTCAAATTTTATTTCTTATTCATATATTTATCACCACAAGACTTGAATTTATAATCTTTATCGAATGAAAAAATTTATTCCTTGAATTGTGGAACTCTCCAATAGTACAATTGAACTGAACACAAGTCAAGTGTTTTCTTGTTATAGGAATAATTTGAAATTTAATTAAAACTTGATGGAAAAAGATTTTTGATTATTATTTTAATCTATTACGAATAACTAATGTAACGGATAAAAGAAAGTGGATAAAAAATTAAAATCCGATAAATAAATGAATTTCACTCATGTTAACATGCATTAATGTAAAATATGCTAACGAAAAGTAAGGAATGTTTATTCTCAGTTTAAATATGAGTTATAGGATATTAATTATTAATCTTAATTTGACAATTCTTATTTCACGAAGGAAACCGGTTTTGGTGATAACAACATAATAGATAATAACATAATGACATAATACTTTAAAATGACTTCTAAAAGTTGTACATTATTAAATGTTTGTTTATTTTGATAAGGAGACATATATCAAACATATATGTATCAAACATTTATCATGCATAAATTCAATTTTTACGGTTTTTAATGCATAATCTAAATAAGTATAAGCTTTCAATTGTGAGCAGAAATTAAAATGTAACAAGTAATCCCTATAATTTTCAATTCATAATTCATGATAATTCATATACAGTATATCGTTTCTTTTTTTTGCCTTATTTAATTAATAGATTATAGAAATATAAAATTCTTGATTTTTAATTTGTACCTTTATAAAAGATTCTATTTAATTATTTTGATTAAAAATCTTCAAAAATTTTTTTCTAAATTCTCCTTTTTTTTCGTTTTTTTAATGTTGAAAAGAAAAGAATATACAAAAAATGCTTGCACCAATTGTTCAAGAGCGAAAAAAGTGTGAACAGAAAATCACTGAAGAAAAGTACACTCGTAAATTTCTCGAAAGAACGTGCACCTTAAAAAAAAAAATAAAAAACGCGGCCGAAAGACTAAAGAAGATACGGAACAAATGTTTTCATTGGGTCCAAACTATAAATTCAATGAATATGAAGGTTTTATTTATTTATCTATTATGCCTAATTATTACTTGGCAATTAATTGTTAGCTCCTATCTCTCATGAATTTCAGGAATTTTAACGAGAATCGCCTGACACTTTTATATGTCTTTGAATTTTATTTTTAAATTTTCGTTTGTCACATTTATATAGAATTTAAATTTTGATTATATATTTTAATTTTCTCGGGAATTTGATATTTAAATTATGGCAATTATAGCTTAACAATTATTAGTCAAATTTATTTTTCAAATTTATTTTTTTGAATAAATGTTTAATATGAATTATAAGTGTCCACTAAACAACCGAGTGGCCACATAATGAATTGACCATATTTTTATAACTATGTATTTGCGCTTATTTGACTGACAAATATTTTCCGAAGTTGTAAATTTGATGTAAAATAATGTACTTAAAAAATATAATAATAAGTAACGAAAAGTAAGGAATTTTTAATCTTAGTTTAAACATCATATAGAGTATTAATTATATTAAATTTAATTTGAAAGATGGATGAATGCTATTAATTAAGATAAATTGGAGAAATAAATTTACCAGTAAAAGGTTGCTATTGTTGAAATGCGTACGAGACGGGTGCTAATATTAAATTAATAAATTAATAATTGGTCATAAATAATAAATAAAAATGATGTATTGTTTAATTTTGTCATAACAAACGCAGAATTTTAATTTTTTCTTTTAAAAATTTCTTTAATTAATTTTTCGATTATAGATTTTAATTTTCTTAGGGATGTGATATTTTTAATTATGACTTAACAATTATTATTCAAAATTTATTTCTTATTCATTTATTTATCACAAACCTTCACAAGACTTGGATTTATAATCTCCATTGAATGAAAAAGTTTATTCTTTGGATTGTGGAGATTGAACTCTCCGATAACACAATTGACGCATATTTGAAGAGATAAATGAATTTAATTAAAAAAAAATTTTAAAACTTGGGGGAAAAAGATATTTGTCTTCTTTTTATTTAATTTAATCTATAATTCACGGGTAACTAAAAGGAAAGTAGAGAAAAAATTAAATCCGATAAATGAATCCCATTCATGTTCGCATGCATTAATGCAAAATGTGCTAACGAAAAGTAAGGAATATTTATTCTCAATTTAAATATGAGATATAGAATATTAATTATTAATAAAATTTAATTTGACAAACCTTACACTCTTTAATTGATAATCCGATAGAAATGTAAATGTAGAGTGCTAATTTTTTAAAAAAATATGTAATTTTTTTATGACAATTCTGAGATATAAATTATTTATTTATTGAATTAAATTAATATTAAAATTACGTAAAAAATTATTGAAGAATTTTAATTGTAAAAATATGCTTTATTACGTCACAAAATTTGGATTAATAATATTATAAACAGAAAGCTCAAAATTTGTTCACGTATACTCTAAAAAAATATTTACAACAATAATTATAAAATATTGCTCGCCCCATTGTAAATAATATAAATTATTTTATCAGTTGGATAACCAGATGAAGAATAATATAAAAAATCTATATCCAATGATGTGACACGGTAGAGTGAGATTCTCACCTGGGTGAGGAATAAATTTTTTCTTTTTTTAAATTTTTTAAAAATCTAACTTAAAATATATTACTAAATAATACACAAAATGAATCATTCATCAAATAAATAACTATCGGGCTTTAGTAAAAAAATTGTATTTACCTGAATTGATAAAATTATATTTATAAATTATTTTATATACAATATTAAATAAAAAAATTTTTCACATTTTATGTAAATTTTATTATAAAAAAAATTTTTTTTTGTGCGTATGCAATCAAAAAATTATTTAATTTACGCACCAAAGTTACATTTTTGATCTTTAGCGGGAAATTATATAAAATCCTGGGGATTTTTCTTTATGACAATCCAAACAATATGCCAAAAGCGTATAATCAATATAATTATAATTAATAGCAACAATAAAATCTAAATCAATCACAATCATCATCGTAAAAATAATAAAATTCTTTTGTGAGGATCTTAGTGGAAAATAAAATGTAATATAAATAAGCGGGAAAGAATCACTATAATTTCAAATGATAATTCATATATATTCGTTTCTTTTTTTGCCTTTATTTAATTAATTTATTATAGAAATATAAAATTTTTGATTTTTAATTTGTAGATTCCATTTAATTATTTGATTAAAAACTTCCTACAATATCTTCTAATTTTTTTTTTCTAAACTCTCCTTTTTTTTCGCTTTTTTTTAATGTTGAAAAGAAAAGAATATACAAAAAATGCTTGCATCAATTGTTCAAGCGCGAAAAAGAAGTGTGAAAGAGGGGAGATCCTAATGAGAAATGTACTCGTTGTTTATTTCTCAAAAGAACTTGCACTTTAAAAATTCATAAAAGACGTGGCCGAAAGACCAAAAAAGTTACGGAACAAATGTTTTCATTGGACCCAAACTATAAATTCAATGAATCAGAAGGTTTGTTATAATACAAATTATGTAATATGTATTTTTATTTATTTATTTATCTATTATGCCTAATTATTACTTGATAATTAAATATTAGCCCCCATTTCTCACGAATTTCAGGAATTTTAACAGAAAAATTTTGCATAATTATGCAGATCGCTTGACACTTTTATATGCCTTCGAATTTTGTTTTTAAAATTTTTCGTTTATGAGTCATGTTTATATAAAATTTAAATTTGGTTATATATCTTAATTTTCTTGGGAATGTGATATTTTAATTATGATAATATAATTATGGCTTAACAATTATTAGTCAAATTTGTTTTTTAAAGAATGTTTAAGTTATAAGTGTCCGCAAGCTCTAAGTAATTTCTTTCATAAACAACCCCATACCAGAATACGAAGCATGTGACCGCATAATGATTCTCCGAAGTTGTAAATTAATGTGCTTAAAAAATATTCATATATATTTATTCAACAAGACTTTGAATTTTTAATCTCTTTGAATGAAAAAAATTTATTCCTGGATTATAGAGATTGAATTCTATTGATTTTTTTTTTTTTGAGGTCAAAGTATAGGTCCGTTCACAATTTTTACTACACTTTTGACTTAAGACTTTAAATGCACAATTCTTCAATAGTTTAATTGACGTACACATGAAGTTTAATCAAAAATATTACTACAAAAGATATTTATGATATTGTAAAATTATTGCGATGGTATATTCTAACATTTATTACTATAACATAAAATCTGATAGTTAATAGTAGTTTCACAAAATCAACATGAATAACAGTAAGTAGTGAAAAGTAAGGGATTTTAATCTTAGTTTTAAACATCAAAGAGTACTAATTATTAAATTTAATTTGGAAACAATCTGAATTACAAATGATTGCTATTAATTTAGATAAATTAGAGAAAGAAAATTTACTAGTAAAAGGTTGCTATTGTTGAAATGCGTATGAGACGGGTGCTAATATTGACTTAATACGATGTATTGTTTAATTTTATCATAACAAACCTTCTGTCTTATTAAATTTTAAATTTATAATTTTGAATTTAAAAAGTACAAATTCTTGTTCGAAATTTACAACGTGTGCACTTTGATTCTATTCCTACTTTTTTTTCACATTTGCATAACTTGTGCAAGCATTTTTTGTATATTCTTTTCTTTTAAACATTTTAGAGGAAATCGATTTTAATAAAGATCTGATTTTTTTTCCAAAGGATTCTTTTGATGGAGATAAATTAAAAATAATTTAATAAATAGTTTGATTAAGAATTTTAGATAAAATAAAAAAGATCTCGTCGATCAGGTGAAATTATTTATGGGGTTTAGCATGTCATGTGAAAACCATATTTGTCACTTTTTATCTGCCACCAATTCCAAATTTCATATATTTATCACAAATCTTCTACAAGACTTGGATTTATAATCTTCATTGAATGAAAAAATTTATTCCTTGGATTGTGGAGGGAGATTTAGATCTCCAATAATACAATTGACGTAATCATGATTTAATTGTTTTCTTGTTATTTTGAAGAGATAAATGAATTTAATTAAAAATATTTTAAAACTTGAGGGAAAATAATATTTTCCTTCTTTTTATGACATTAGTAAAAAATTACTATTTTAATCTATATGTCACGAATAACTAGTGTAACGGGTAAAAGGGTAAAAGGAAAGTGGAGAAAAAATTAAAATTTGATAACTAAAAGAATTCCACTCACATGCATTAATGCAAAATATGCTAACGAAAAAATATAGAATATTAATTATTAAATTTAATTTGAAAATGTATTTTAATTAAAATGTTTGTTTAGAATTAATGATAAATAAATGATATTAAATTAGAGAAAGAAATTTACTAATAAAAGGTTAATATATTTTTATTATTATAACTGAAATGCATACGAGACGGGTGCTAAAAATTAAATTAATAAGTTAATGATTAGTTATAAATAAACAAAAAAAAAATAATATTAATATATTTTAATTTTATCATAACAAACCTTCTGTCTCATTGAATTTATAATTTTGATCGAATGGATAAATATTATTTTGTTCTTGAATTTGGAAATTATCTTTTTTAAACTTTCTACCGCGTTTTTTTTGAATTCTTAAAGTACAAATTCTTGCGCGAAATTTACAACGAGAACACTTTTCTTCAGTAGTTTTCCATTCACACTTTCTTTTTGCATTTGCACAATTTGTGCAAGCATTTTTTGTATATTCTTTTCTTTTAAACATTTTAAAAGATATGTTTTTAATATAAGAGATCCGATTTTTCAAAGGATTCTTTTGAAGATACAAATTAAAAATAATTTAAAATAATTTAATAAATAATTTGATCAAGAAGAATTTGGTATTTGTGTAGATAAAGAATTTGTTTCTGATTATTTATATATTTTTCACTTGATTATAGATTTTACGGGAAAAGGTTTTGTCGTGAGAAATTTTTATGTTACCAAAGTACAGGAAAAAGGTTTGTCATGAGAGATTTTTCTTATGCAATGTTATTAAGTACGTGATAAATTAAAAAGTAAAAACCAATAATAACTAGTTGCTAAGAAGTTGTAGTGTAATTTAAATTAAAATTTTTCATGTGAAAAGTAGACTTTACATACAAAATTTATTATTATATATTTTTGACCATTTTTTGGAAGCGAAAGAATTTTTTATTTTGGTCATTCATTTTGACAATGTTAGTGATATTGTTGTGATTATAAGTAATGTTAAGGTTCACATTTAAATTAAAGTTAGTCTAGTGCATTATTATTATATTAATGCCGTCTGTGCCACCTGATTAAATGACATTCCTTTCGAAACTTCTAAATGAACGTGTAGAATTAATCTTACGCAATCTTAAAAGATGAATTAAATGCACATTAATACGTGGCTGATGTTCATTTCTGTTATACAGAATAATTAGATTTTACCATAAAGAGACGCATTATTTTTTTTTTTTTTGCATTTTCGGTATATTCAGTAGTATCACTCAAAATTATGTACACAACATTTTCATTGTTTTTATTCATTATTCATTATTTTAATTGATTTAAATAATATTGATGCAATCCCTTTGTGTTTTTCTAATATAAATGAATATAATGTTTTATATCACACACTTAATATCCCGATAATCTTCGAAATTACATTTTTATTTCATTTATGCGCTTTCATTGTGTTTATTGCGTTTCTTGATAATTTTAAATATTTAAATCAATTTGGAATTTAAATTTTTTTCAAAAAGAAAAAAGAAAAAAAATATTAAAATGGAAATCAAAACAAAGCAAGAAAATTTTTTAATAGTGTAATTAAAATCTATATTTTGTAAAATGGAAATTAAAACAATTAAAACGTTATATTTATCTTATTATAATTTATTTTATATCAGATATATTTTAACTTATTAAGATTATAATTAAACTAATTAAACTATATATATTTATCTTTTAATATATAATATAATGTACTTATAATTTAATACAGAAAAAAAACAATAATAGTAATAATATCTCTTTAACTTGTAAAGCGTGGGGTTTAATTAGTAGCTGAATAATATGGACGATCACATGCTTTGTTTATAAAATTTATTGTTGTTTTTATATATATTTATTTTTATATATATTTATTTTCATATATATTTATATATACAGTGAACCTCTATAAGGTACACCCCTCTATAAATGCACCCTATACTCCAGTCCCATCTACTAATAACACTTATAAAAATTTCCCTCTATAAATGCTGATTCCCTGGGGGCGCATTTATTGAGAGTTCACTGTATATCCACTTTATTTTTATTAATATATTTTTATCTTGATTTTAAAAATAGAATAAAATGTATTTATACAGTATTTTTTTATTACAATTACATATTCGTCATTATAATGTATATAATGATATGCAAGAATCATATGATACAACTTATCAAGCATAATTTTTGTTTTTTTCTTTCAACTCCAGTTTATATACTTCCATTTATGGTAATTTAAACAAAGCAAATAAAAAAATCATCTAACCAGTTTTCAATCAACTTTCATTCTTTTAAACAAAAAAAAAATACTGTAAACAAAAGCATTTGCATGTGTGTGTGACATCAAATATTTTATGAATAAGTATTTTAAACTTGTACAATACAACTTGTTTATGATGTCGCATGACAAATACACATATCCATATTCCCTCTTATCATTAATAAAAAAAAGCTATTGTTGAGATTTAATTATAATTATAATAAACAATAAGATAAAAAATGGAATAAAAAATGGAGAAAATAAAAATAAAAATTTTCTCAAAACGGGAAACGTATTATTTGTATAAATCAAATTAAGTTATATTTGTGAGAATAACGATGTTGATGTTTTGTTTATTTGAAAAGAAATCAAAAAATATGTACAACGTGGGCAACGATATCAACAATATTTATTTATGCAATTATAAATAAGATAACTTAAATGTACATCTAATTTAGTTAATTAGACTTGCTTATCATCAGATAACAGTTATAAAATCTAAACCTTATTTTTATCAATGATTTTTATTACTGTAAATGTTTTTTTTATTAAATGTTTTTTTATTAAATGTTTTTTTATTAAATGTTTTTTCATTAAATGTTTTTTTTATTAAATGTTTTTTATTAAATTCTTTATTGATGCTTTTTGTCTTTATTTATGCCTTTTATTGATGTTTTTATTAATTTCTTTATAAACGTTTATTGATGTCTTTATTTATGTCTTTAATTAATGTTTCTATTAATGTTTTTATCCGAGGTAAATAAATAGAATTTTTATCCTTAAAAAATTATCTATTGTTGTTGAATTAATTTATTGAATCGATTAATGAGATCGGAAAAAATTTAGAAAAAAAATATTTTATTATTATTATGTAATTTTTAAAGTGTATTATAAATGCTTTATTATTTATACGCGGTACAATAATAATAATAACAATTGCTATGTAATAATAATTACAATATTTTTAATATTTCTAAATTTAGACTAGAAGAACTCAATTAATATATTTATGCCACGATTATTCGTTCAAGTTATTTTTGATTTTACCTTATTTATTTAATTCCTTCGTGAATAAATGAAAAACTTGTTATCTGTTATGTTGTAGTACTGGAATTTATATACGAATCACATGATAGATAATACCAATATCATGTTCTGTATAAAGTTATATTTGTTTTTTATTTATTTATTTGTAATAAATTTTTGGTTGTTAAATAATAATATGTAAAATAATTAAAAAAAATTTACAGTTTAAGGATAACAAAAAAAAATTGATGTAAAAAAAAGAATATCTTAAGAATCATAGAAAAAAAATATATAATAATAAATTTTTTTAGAGAAAAAAAAAAGAGAGAAATTATAACTGATGTATTATGCTTAATCCATATAAATTATAAAAATATCTTAATGAACTTAAAAAAAAAGAGAGGGAATATTCATATATAACGAAATCAATTATTTAAAACTTGTTAATTTTTTTCAATGCTGAAAATTTCATCATATTATTATGGTTGTTGTTATTATTATAATTGTTGTTGTAATTATAACTAAGATCACTACCAAGATTGCTACTAATATTCTTCAAATTGATTACGTAAGTTTGAAGGTTTTCAAGACTCATTTTTGAATAGTCAATTGCTTCAATTTTAGAATGTCGTTCATTCTTTGATAAACTTGCATTATTTAATTCTTCTCTCTGTAAATTTATGTGAATTTTATCACGAATTATGGATGAAATTAAAAGATAAAATAAAAAAAAATAAGGTTATTTAAAGATATTTAAAGATATTACCCTCGATAAAACACTCAAACCGCACACGCACACTCACAAATACATAAATACACACAAATATATTTAAAATACCTTGATATTATTCTGTGTAGTAACATTTTTTAAATTTTTAACCAAGTCTTCTAATTTTCCAACTCGTTTATTGAGTACTTTCATGTAATTTGTGGATTCTTTACATTTTGGACATGGTTTTTCGCGAGTTGAAGATATAGATGTAGTTGCAGTTGTCGATGAATTAATTGAAATATTAGGTATTGTCGTCGTAGGAATAGACATGGTCGGTGTATTAAGAACAATAGGAGAAATAGTCGTGATAGGTGATGTTGTTACCGGTGGTTGTGATGGTCTGTGATAAGGCACGGATTCGACTTTAACATTATTCTTTTTTCTATTTCTCATTACATGAGGATTATTATGATTACTACGAGAACTACGATTATTACGAGCACTATGAGCGTTACGATTACTACTTGTATCGTATTGAGCAGCCGTTGATATTTCGAACATTTTTTATTATTGTATATAATAAAAAAAAAAGTTGAATTCTAATTTATACAAAGTGTTTCTTTTAAGTGGTGTTATTGTCGCTGTGGTTTGGTCTTTAAACATAAATGAAATTTAAACTTTTCTTAATTATTATTACCATTGAAAGCCTTAAAGATTCATAAAATGAAACTGTGTAAGGAAATAAAGGAAATAGAAAAATAAAATAGAGAAAAAAAAAACTAACCATTATTTGCATTTATATTAATTCCCGATTATTCAATTGATTCCCAGTTGATGGTCTTTGCGGCTTTGTTTTAGTTGTGTTTTAGTTTTGTGTTTGGTTTAGTTTTGTAGTAGAAAATATGTATAAGGTAAAGTCGGATTGTTTATTCCGAAGATTTAACTAATCATTTTATTTTACAATCACGTGAGAAATTATTCGGTTGATTGTCCACAGTCATGTATCCAACTCTCCTTTCATATCTATAAAGAAAATATCGAGTGAGTTATTGTCAATGATAAGAATATTAAGAATTTTGTATTGAGAATGTCTTTTAAATAAATTTAAATTTCTGCATATTTAACTTATAAAAAGAAGTGTGCTTTGATTGCTTTGATTAGATATAAATATATAAATAACATCATGAATCTAGCATATAAACATATTAAACCTAACCCACCGTATTAACAGCATATTATTTTTTTTCACGTTCTCATTAAAAAATCTGACCTTTCGAACGAAATTATCATTTATGTATAATGTTTCCGAAGTCAATTTATTAATTTAATTACAGTCTTATCTTTGTCCGACCTCTATATGGATATCCATAATTGGATTTATTTGAACACAGATGGTAACTTGTGATTTTTTGGCTCAAGTCATCATTTACATGAAATGCATGCATGCGATGCGTTATTTTTTATTTTGTTTGAAAAAAGGAAATTTCTAAAATTAAATAAAATTGATATTTTTATTTTTTTATTTTATTTATTTTTATTTATTTCTATAAATACTTTTAATTCAATTTGATTGAAACTAATTTTGGAATATATCCGTACCATCGTTCATTGTAACGTCAGGTGGGGTAAATTAAAACCTTATTGATTACAACAAACAGTTAACTTTCCAAGATCAAAAATATTATATTCATTTCCAAATTTGATATACAACACATATTTACACAAATGTCATACAATGTCTTCTCAAACGTAATATTTTTCAATGAATTCAATTTTACAATAAAATTATCATCAAAGATTATTACAAATTTACAAATTTTGAGTTTTCTTTATTCTTACTCTCTTTCTTTCCAATTTCATTTGACTTTTGATTTGTTTGCTTCTTTTAATTAATTTATTAATAAATAATTTTATAGATCATTCCATATTTATAATTTGAGCTCCCTTTTATTCTTACTTTCGTTCATTTATTTGATTTATTAATTAATAATTTTATAGATCATTACATATTTATAAATTTTGAGTTTTCTTTATTCTTACTCTCTTTCTTTCCAATTTCATTTGACTTTTGATTTGTTTGCTTCTTTTAATTAATTTATTAATAAATAATTTTATAGATCATTCCATATTTATAATTTGAGCTTCCTTTTATTTTTACTTTCTTTCATTTATTTGATTTATTAATTAATAATTTTATAGATCATTACATATTTACAAATTTCAAGTTTTCTTTATTCTTACTCTCTTTCTTTCCAATTTCATTTGTTTTGAATATTTGATTTTGTTTGCTTCTTTTAATTAATTTATTAATTAATAATTTCATAATTTTATCAAAATATGTAAAAAAAAACAAACAATGAGATTTAGATTTTCTCTTTTTGACAAGATGAATAAAAATATGAAACGTGATATAATCAATTTCTCGAAGGATCTATTTTTTATTATTAACGTGTTAAAAACCAAAAATAATTACATAGTTGAAAAAAATAATATTATGTCTACTATTAATAATTTCTTTGAAGTATTCTGCCAAGTCTCGATTTTTTTTTCTTAGTTTTCATAAAATAATGCTTATGTAATATATCTTATTTAATCTTAAAAAATCTAATTGAAATCTAATTTAATTAGTCTTAAAATAATTTATTAATTTAATATCATGAAGTTGATTAAACACTTTGAGTTTGCATTTTTTTAGGGGATGAAGAATTACAGATCATTGCTCTGGTTAAAGTCATAATCGCCTTTTGCAAATCTTCAAGACTATATGAAGAAATATCTCTTCCGTTAGTAAAAAGATCAAAAGGTGCAGATGTGTTTAAATTCGGGGCCATAGACGTATCAGGTGCATCATAATTATCGTCAGGTCGTTGGATGACAATTTGTGGAATTTCCCAAGTTTTAGACGCGTTGTTTTTATTCAATTTTTTGCCAATTTGTTGGTTCTAAAAAAAAAAAATAAAAATAAAATAAAATGTAACGAAAAACTCAAATGAACTATTTCACATAAAATTCGGAGATCAAAAAGAAACAATAAAAAACGGTTTTTTTTTAAATACCTTAATATTATTGCGGTTATATGGGGCCTTATGACAAACCGTGTTTTTAGCCAAAGAATTGACCAATTCTTCAACTTTGCCAATTTTCGAATATAACAATTTAATACATTTATTTGATTCTTTACAACGAGCACAAGTTTTTTTAATCATTTTTGGTTCCTTAATAGTACCAATAGTACCGAAAATATCACTTGTATTAGAATCAGATTGAATTGGATGAAGAGAAGGAGGAAGATGGTAAGAATGGTTCAGAGTAAAATCACTATTTTTCACTTTCACATCTGGCTGATATGCAGCTTTGATATTATTTGGATACTCTTGAGAATTATTGAAATTATTAGCGAATTGATTTATTCTTGTCATTCTGCTTTATCAATAACAAAAAAAATGGTAAAACTGGCACAAATCTCGCTTAAATAAACTAATATCGGAGTTATAACTGAATTACTGAATTTAAAATTTTCATATACTTATGCCGCATGTATTATATTATTTGAAAGTCTCATGCCGAACGTTAACTAAAACTTTTATAAATATCAATTTTATCGCAAATATATTTTTATAATGATAAAATTTTGTGTTAATAACATGTGACGTGTGACCAGTGGACTGCTTTTGTGTCCTTAATAACATTGTAACATAATAAAATAAATCTACTTTGCCTTTTTGCATTTTGCATTTTGCATTTTACAATGGCTATTGAAAATAACGAGGTCATATGATAAAAATTTAAATAATGAATTATGTAAATTTCTGATTCATTTAGGTCACTAAAATAGAAAAATTTGACCCAAAATTCTTTGTTAATTTCAACAATACTTTTGTAAATTTAATTATCCTTCGCGGAAATTTTTTCTTTTTTATCCTTAAAAGTAAAAATAATAAGGTTCAATAACGAAATAAATTAGTTATGTATGACAAAAAAAAAGCCAACAATAAACAAAGGGAATAGGTTAGACGTAAAATTTCTACATGTGCGCATGTTACCCCAATTATCGAAAATTTTTTCTACCCCTGATTTGATACAAGAATGGAATGTTCTAGCGAATAAATATTAAAAAAAAGTTCCGCAGAATTAAAAATTATATGATCGAATTGCGCAATAATATCTTCCTTTTTGCTTGGATTCTAAATATGGGCTATTGATTCCTCAAATATTCAAATATTCCTTTTTTTTATTATTAAAAGTTTTTCTTTTTGCATTTTGTGTACGCACGCGGGCTAAATATTATGACGGGTTGCAAACCTTTATTATACAAACAAAACTATTATTTGATCTATTTTATCTTTCATGTCGTAAACGGATAATCTCATTCTTTTGTTTCCTTTTATTTTGATCAAAAAAAAATGATATTTATAAAGCCTATTATAATCCTTTTTTAGGGGAAAAAATATAAATACAATTTATGTGTGTCACTTTATCTTTGTCAACGTGACGATTCGTAAATAAAAAGACGAATTCACAAAAAAGTCAAGTATCTTAATTATTTGGAACGGGTTAATTATGCAAAAAATGGTAATATTGTGCTTTTATATCTACCTAGAATATTAACAATGAAATGGTAATTGCAATAAACAACAATGCAAGGAATCTAAAATTCCGATTTTTGGCAACAATGGCGATGCAAAAGGTAAATATTAACAATGTACGATTTCAAAAGAACAACTTGAATGAACACTGCATAACAAAACACTGAATCAATGTGTAACATGTTTATAAATTGGTTATTTCGCTCGCTTCTTTTTATGAACTTTGATAATAAATTTATTATTAACTTCAATATTATATTCGAGATTCTTGTAAAAAATAAAAATTCAAACTACTATTACAAAAATTAAATTAATTAAATTCCATACTTATGAATTTCTAAAATCAATAAATATTCATTGAAGAATAATCTTTTAATAAACATAATAAATATTAAATGTATTTTATTTGTTACACGACTGTTTTTAAATTATAAAAAATTAAATATATCGTAAATTCCATACAAAAAAGTTATAGAAGGTATAAATATTTTGTTTTTTTAATTAAAAATACTTATAAAGATTAAAGCAATAAGTTTCATTGAACATAATTTATCGTGAAGTCCAATTACATATAGATTTTCCTTTTAAATTTAAAATATTTTATAATTGATAATTGAAAAAATTCTGTGTGATTCGAATAATAACCATCATAATAAACTTATATCCATCTCCTTTAAAATTAGTTATATAACTATACATCGAAAAATACTGCCACAAATTTGATAACTTTTTTTTTTCTATTGTAAATTGCAAATTTTGATCTCTTTAGTTTGCTAAGAATTGAATTTTGACATTACTATTTTCAATGAGAAAAAAACTCTTTTGTTTTCATATAAATACTAGAAGTTTTTTATCCAAATTAACCAAATTAAGGGATTGTATCCACCCAGAGTTTCATCTATTTGATAATCTCTACTATTAACAAGATTTACATCATACAAAGTACGCTACGATCATGAGTAGTCAAAAATAATAAAGGTTTTAATTTTTAAATAAAATTTATTAGTTAAAAGAACTGTGATCTGATTGGATTACAAGATTTACAAGTTTAAAGATTTATTGTAAATTTTGGAATCCTCTAGCATGTATCGCGTTTAACCTTTTGTTTTTATTCAGAGCGGCCCTTGGTGATATCAAGTAGTTATAGTCAAAGTTTATGATACGGAGGTTCTGCCACGAAGTTGCACAGCTCATCGCGACATAAGCTTGGCCTTTAGCAAATAAGGATTTATTAACGGAAGTAGTTACATGAGGTAATGCTAAACCTTGCACTTTATGAGCGGTGAGGGAAAAAGCATTCTGGAGTGGGAATTGTTTTCTTGATGCACTTTTCCATCTATATTAAAATATACAGTTTCTTCTAAACGGTGACTTGGCTTAAGTTCGTAAAGGTAGGGAAAGTCACTTCTACATTTTGACCATCATTAATTCTTGTCATGATTCCAATTGAGCCATTGCAAATATCATCATCGAAAAGTTTATTATTTAGAAACATAACACGCATACCTTTTTGTAAGTATATAATGTGAGGTAGGTTTTCATTTTCATTCAAAGTCTAGGGTATCTAGATATCGAGGTAAGACACCTTCATCAGAAAATTTTAATAGGCGATGATCAACGGAGGATTTTCATTTTCGACTTCGCTCGCGATTTTCTACTAAGATATTTCTAAATTAGAAAGAAAGGCCTTATTCTCGGCTACAAAAATGACATGGTTTCACCCCTGTAGCATTGATATTCTAGTTTAAAGAAAAACGTTCGGAAAAAATCGTGCAAAAAATTTTCCTGGGATTTTTTGCACGACTTTTTTATGGACGTTTTTCTTTAAACCAGAATATCGATGTTACCGGGATGATAAACATATAATTTTGTAGCCAAGAACAAGACCTTTCTCTCTATCTTAGAAATACCTTGGTAGACAAAATTTATGTGTTTTATTCCGATCATGTCAATATTCGCTGAGTCATTCTGGTTTAAAGAAAAACGTCCGTAAAAAAAATCGTGCAAAATCTCTGGAAAATTTTTTGCATGATTTTTTCACGGACGTTTTTCTTTAAACTAGAATAACTCCGCAAATATCGATGATACCAAGATGAAATACATATTATTTTGTAGCCAAGAATAAGGCTTTTCTTTCTATCTTAGAAATATCTGTGTGGAAAATCGCTCTATGCTTTGTAAATCGCGAGCGAAGTAGAAAAACGTCTGGAGTCTTTCGTTAGAAATGAAAATCCTCCGTTGATCATCGCCTATTAAAATTTCCTGATGCTTTCGCCCAATATAAGACGTATACTTGTCATTTCCCGTGACAGTTTTAATGAAGCAGAAATGATATGAATATAGATGATATAGCTTTACGAATTTTTATTATGGAATGGACAAAGATTTTAATGACTATGTAATTTATATTAATTATATCTTTTCATTTACAATGAGATTGGGTACTCACTTTTATTAGTAATTTAAAGATGAGGGAGTAGTAGTATACAATAAATACTTTTCTTTCATTATTGTAAGATTCAAATTTTTTCTTTGGACGGGAGACTTTTTTTATTATTTCAATCTGCAGGGAAGCCATCACTTTTTTTTTCATCTAATTAATCCATCATGGTTTGATTCTTTTTTGATTTATTAAGGTGAATAATTTCTTGGAAACAATTGAACTGATGATTTTGATTAAAAGACCCTGTAATTGCTTTTTGGCCAAGACAATTAACACAAGTCAAACATAAAAGAATAGGGGCGCAAATAGGAATTCCGATTTTAGCTGATTTATAATATAGGATAAAATAGGACAGTTGATTTTAGCTGGTCTATGATACAGGAATTCCGATTTTAGCTGATCTATAATATAGGAATTACCATTCGGTACAGCGATTCTTTTGTATTTGACTAGTGTAAGTTATTGCCCTATTGCCCTTAATCTATTGCAATGCCAATTGAACTGAAGATTTTAATCGGAAGACCTTTCATAAATGGCTTCTTGGTTGAGACAATCAAGTTATTGATTGACCTTGACTTATTGTAATATCGAAAAATTTTTATAATAATTACCTTAAATCGGACATTAATTTTTTTTTTTTTTTGATGAAAACACTTTAAATTTTATTCTGTTAAACTTTTCAAATTTACAGGAGATGCCCTATGATAGGGCAATACAATCGATATAGATACATGCATAATAAAGATACAAAATTCTCATCATTACCATTTTTAAATTTTTCTTCAATAAGATTTTTTTTATTTGAAATTTTGTTATTGATAAGATTATTAACGATCAAACTATTGTCATCACAATGAAATATGATAGCAAGTGCTTAGTAATTATTTTTTTTCTTGAAAATGTAATTTGTGAAATGAAAGACAAAAAAAAATAAAAATAGAAAGGATGATAGAAAATATGGTAGTATATTGTATGAAAAAAAATCACATCTACGCCTCGTTAGACAAACGATTTTTTAAATTAATATGATACAGAGGGAAGTAAAACGAAGCGGTGGGTCAAGATCATGGGCACAGCGCGGCACAGTGCGGCACAACAAGGACAAGATCTTGAAAAAATATATAAAACGTTTCCAAATCCGTGAGACCACAAATTACCTCTTATATCGCTTAAAATGGATACTGATTAATCTAAAAAAGGCACAGTTTAAAAAATAAAAAAGGTATAAGGCAAGCTGCGTCGTACGAATTTGAAAGTGTAGTGCTAACTAAATTCATACATCACTGCGTGAAAATCTTTTTGGATATGTAATTTAGATATTCTTTTACATCAGCATGTAATTCTTGGACTTTATTAACAGTTGAAAATGATTTTTTTTTTGCATCAGCAGGTAATTCTTGAACTTTAGGAGTAATAATAGTTGATGAAATTGCTTCTTTATTTCTTGAGCTGAAATCGATCTTACCGATAATAATTGATATTATAGTCGGTCTGAAATTGCGTCAAATCATTCCAAAGTTGTTTATCAAGAATTTTTTACAAGGTTTTACTTAATTTAAAATATCTGCACCGGAAATATGAAAATATCGAATGTGTGATAAACATTGTTGAAGGGTAGTTTTTAAAGTAAAAAGGCTTTCTTTAGTTTATTCTTCAAGGTTTTCTAGTTAACTATAATTCTAGATTAGCAATTATTCTAGATTAGCAATTATAAATATTTCTTTTTAAATAAATATTAAGCAATTAAATTTACAATAATGATATTTATTTATTGAATATCAATAACTTAAATAAATAGTATCAAAAAATTTGAGCAGAAATGTTAATTGTTACAGGAATAATAGTTGATTTACGGAAATAGGGTGATCGATACTTTAATACAGCAGTAAAATGTTTCTCATTCTCAACTTCATGATTACATTGTAATCATCTTTATTATCTAGAAGAACAATAAAATTTTAAGATAATGCATCATATCATAAAGTTTTAAGACATTTTTTTGCATTTGTAAATTGAGTAAAAAAGCAAAATACAAGTCTGAAAGAAATTTTTTTGTTGCACAATTTAGTTTGAGAGAAAAATTTATGCCCTCCAAGAGAAATCAAAAACCCAATTTTTATTTTCCATCTTTCACACATTAAAAAATAAACACGTTTCAAAAATGATTTTGATGATTGGACAAGTAGAAATTAAACAATAGATAAATTTATTCGTGATTCTCAACTAAATATAGCTTATTCTTGAATAAAGTGCAATAGAATGGATATCTTATAATAGATTTGATGATATTAAAGAAATAGCAAAAGATGATTTTTGATACTATATATATTATTCCAGGTGGACTAATTTATAGATTGGATATTGAAAAAACAACAATGGAAAAGATGATGTTTGGTAATTTTGAAAATTTAAAATACATGATTTAGATGTCAATTCAATGAAAACAGGTTTCAATTAAATTTTTTGGAATAACAAAAGGATAAATATATGATGGATGTTTTAGAGTATGCTTTTGGTGGAAATCTTAGCAATCATTTAAAAATATTAATTGGAAAAAAAAAATTATAATGTCTGTATTTTGGAAGTAAAATAGTATTTAAAAGTATTCCGTAGAAGAAAGCTGTTGATGTTTATTCTTTCAGAATTATTTCATATGATGGTTTTGTCCCATATTATGAAAATTTCACATAACAGGGATTTAGCAAATATTCAATGGATTATGACCAAAAAATTAATTGAGAATGATTATGAGATGTTGGGATGCTCGAGTTTCTTGGCGAACTACTTTTGAAGAATTGGATCAAAGAGTTACAGAAATACCTTCCTTAAAGATTATTTGAAAGAATAACAATGAATTGCAAATCAAATTGAAAACTCTAAAAAATTTCACAAGTAAAACTATAACTATAAAACAAATCTACAAGCAATTTTTACCAGTAGATTTCTCAATTATTCAAGTCTTCCAAAAGAATGAAGAAAATTTTTGAAAAGTGTTAGTATCAATTATATTTATATTTCATAATATTAACCCATTATTATCATTATTTAGTTGCTTTTTAAATATCCTAAATATTTTTAAGTTATAAATATTTTACTTGTATCAACTCGGATTAAATATTTAGAATCAATAATTTTAAAAACGGATAATTGATCTAAATTGGCAAGATCCTAAAATTTAATGTCTCTTGGCGTTCTAAAAACCACCAACACTGCCAAAATTGGTAACAATTAATATTAAGATCTCAACATAGCATAGATAGTAATAATTGAAAAAAAGCACGTATTTTATTATCTATAAAAAATTATTTCAATAATTAAGTGATAAATAAATATTAATACTAAATCTAACTAAAATAATGTACAAAGGAAAAAAAAATAAAGTAATGAAAGTACTAAAAATTCTATATGCAAAAAAAAAAATTAGGTTAAAATTATTACATAAAGTAAAAAAAAAATTTCTGATCTACATTTAGGGCATTTTATTATATCCACTATGTATAATTATTATAAGGTGTTTTAAGTCTTGAGAAAGACTATTAGTAAAGCAATTAATGTGAGGAACAATATAATAATAATTAATATTAAAAATTTTAGCCAAATTTTCTAGAATAAAATAGAATAAAAGAGAATGAATTATTAATAAAAATTATTGATGAATAATTTTGATAATTGAATAGATTTGTTATTAAAACCTCTTTAAATAATAATACTTTAAATAATTATAATAATAATACCTCATTAGATTTTTTTGATAGATAATCTGGTTTTATTTCATTTTTGCCTAATTCTTCATCAATAATATTTGCTCCTTTTGCTAATGGAATATTTATTGCTTGTTCTATTACAAGTGCTTGAACTTCACTAAACATTTTATTTAGTTCCTAGTAGAAATAGAAATTAATGTAAATAAATATAATTAAAAAAAAATTTTTTTTATCAAAGATGAGAATCTATAAATAAATAGTACATTAATTGATTTTTCAATCCTATGGACATCGCGATGACGATCTTGAATTTCCGAAACAATTAAACGCTTTTGATCTGATGTTGTTGAAAACAACTGTAATGAAAACAGAAAAGAACTGAAAAGATTAATAACTTGACGAAGACTGATATGAAAAAAAAATAGAAGATTATATTCTTTAATTACCCGTAATATAAGGAACTCTCCTGATTTTTCACCAAGAAGTTCATTTATTTCTTCTTCCGTGGCATCAGATTTCACTAGAAATAAAAGAATGTTTGGAATATTTTTTAATAATTTATATAACACACATAACACACAATATGACATCAATATAAAATATTCACCAATTTGATATTGACTAATAATTCTCTCTCTATATTTTTTCACATTTTCCATTTGTAGATTACGATATTCTGCCATTGTATCCATAAAGAATTTTGCCAAATTTGCATGCTATATTATTTCATTAATTAAATGTTTAAGTTTTTTTATCATGTTAATTTTATCATACTTTAATATTGATATAAAAAATTATTTACTTGCGATAAACGAATCTGCGTTTGATCTTGATAAGGTGATTTATTATTTTGTTCCATAACTAATCAAATATTATAAAATATTTATTAAATATTTATTGGATATTATAATAAATTAATTAATTACGAATATATAATTAAAATATTATATTCTCACCTCCTAACTTTTGACTAATTTGACTACCTATTCGACTTGTTTCTAAAATTAACAAATCCAGTTGTCGTGACATTCCTATTGTGGTTTAAAAATAAATTTATCAAAAGATTAATAAAATTATTATTAAGAGAGAAAGTAAAGAGGAGAGTTGAAAAAAAAATGGTCAAACACCACAAAAAAAAAATGAAAACATGAAATTGGGAACGGTGCTCAACGGGAACTCTCATCCTGCGTCAATGTTATTAAGATTCTTTTATGTAAATCTTGAATTGCTATCAAGTTTTCTTTTATCGAACGAATCATATCTTGAATGGAATTGACCTATATTAATAAAATTTATTAATTTGATTAATTTAAATAGTTTAATTTACTACAGTTAATTTATTTAATTTATTTAATTTATTTAAATTATTACTAAATTTTAAATTCCAATCATAAATTGTTTATTTTTCTTTATCTCTAATTATGTATCATATGATATTATTAATTTTTTTGAAAGGTAAAAAAAAAAAGAAATTAATTAAATTAATTCTTTTCCCGAGACAAAAAATTATCGCCAACCTCTTTGAAAAATTCACCGAGGGTTTGGCTGCCACTACTTGGTCCAGCTTGACTACTACCCTCAAGAATTTCCAATTCAATTTCTATCCCGCTTGAACCTTGAACATTATCTTCATTTGCATTTGACTTTTTAGATCCAAGACAATTAGTTGTTGTAGTTAAAATTGACATTTATTTTATTTTATTTTTTTTTTTTTATAAATCTCTAATTAAATTATATAATTAAATAATAATGATGATAATAATAATAATAACAAATGATTATAATATTATAATAACTGATAATCATAATAATAGATAATTATTATTATTATTATAATAACCATAATAATAATATTCATAATAATTAATTATAATAATAAAATACCAACCCCAATAACTGAATTATCATCACGACTCATTTTTGTATTTACACAACGCAATAATGAAAAGAGTTCTCGGGCTATTTAAAGAGGATCTCACAATGAAAATTTTTGGAAAGAAAATGAAGACCGGCTGTAATCTTTCCAAGTATAAGTTCTATCTATACATGAAACATTGTTGTAACTGGCGTACATCTATTCTTTTTGATGTTAAATACTAAATTTGACAGTAATTGATTTTTTCAATAATGTCGTGTTACCAACTTTTTTATGCAATGCAAGTAGATCTCAATTTTGTTATTTTGAAAATAAAAAAATTGAATATATTTAGGTTAATAATCTGTAGTGTCTCATAGCACATTAAAAGATTTTTTTTTTTTAATCCAAGATTATCCCATTGTCAAATTTTCCGTGTATTGGTAGAATTTTTGGATGTCGCATATTTTAATGTTCCAAAGTTCACATTTCTAATTCATTTAATTTCCAATTTATCTCTTATTCAATTCCAATTCATTTCCAACCCAATTCCAATTTATCTAATTTATCTTCCTATTCATTATAATTACAAATGAAAAACTTGCAAAACTTGCGGATTGTATTTTGCATTTAGGTAAATATTTTAATAAATTATTTTAATAAATTTTCCCAATAATCATTTTTTGTGAGAACGAAAAGATGCAATTAGATTTGTTTTTTAGATTTTTGTATGAAGATTCTTATTTACACTTTGTATTTCGTGACACAAAATTACATTAATGTAATAAATAATTAATTATTAAATTTATTTTTAAAAATAGCGTTCTAAAAATATCACAAGCTTAATGAGATCTATATAAGTATCTATTCTTCTATATTTAGTTGAGCATTGCGAATAAATTAAATTTTTTTTTTATTTCCACTTGTCCACTCATTTTTAAAATGTGTCGAGTAGTATGGTTTGCATTTTTTACATTTATCCATTTTATTTGCACAATTTTTGATGAATGAAGCAATTTAAAAAATGGGAAATAAACTTTTGTCGAATTTTCGCTCTCGGAGGAAATTAAGAAATATAATCATTTTGATTCATTGTTTGTTGTACACACTACCATCTTTAATTGCTATATTTATGGTATCACATTTTGAAGAGACTTATTGAAATAATATGAATATTATATGTAAACACAACTGAAGCGTGCACAAACGTTTATTTTTGGAAATCTACACCTCAGAAAAAAGAATTTGAGAATAATAGTGTTATATTAAACATAGAATTGATAATACCTACGAGAATGATCACTATATAAAATTCTATTGTTAATTGTTTATATTGTAACTTTTTTTAGGAGACGCTGAAAAACATGCAACAGAGTTTGGATTTGAGGTAATAAAATATAGAATAAACATGATGAAATTGTATGACGATACAAAAAAAAAAAGCTGATACAGGAGAACGGGAAAAGAAAAATCAAATTGTCTATGGCGAGTAAATATTTATCTTTCTGGTAGTGTTGTTAGTGTTACCATCCATTAAACGAAAATGTAGAAAACGTGGGACTAAAATTTCATCGTCTTAGTTCTTTTTGAAAATCTGTCTGCATGAATAATTGGACCTGCACCACAATCAGAAATTCAATCTCTTCAAGCATATCTGAAACAATCTATCCGAAAAATGCATACAATGTAATCTGTCTTTTTCGGAACGATATAAAACTGATGCTACGTATAAAAAATTAACACTTGGTGATTTGTTGAGCAAGATTAGAAGGGAAAGGTGCCGGTTTACTTTGGATGAGGCCATCACAAATTGATTTATACAAAGATTTCGTAATGTAGTAATTAATGATAATACAGCATAAAATATCGTATGTATCTATCTGTTACGATTATCATTGATAAGAATAGTATTCTTTGAGGTTTGGTGTAAAATTATTGAAAAAAGTTATTTGTAGCTATGTAATCATTTATGTAACATGTATCTAATGAGAATTTACCTAATATTAACAAAAGGGTGCTGCCAAAAAATGTATAAAAATGCATTAGAAAATACTTCGAAATATGTAAAACAATAAAAAAATCAATAAAGGTAAAGGCTCATATTACTACTGAGGAAGTAAATTTATACGATATTGTTAAGTGAGAAATTACTATTCAATTTTGGGTAAATCATATATAAATCATCAAACATGATTTGATATCAACTCGGCGAAAAAATATTTTTCTTTGTAGCAGCTATAGATTTTGACTTACATATATAAAGATAAATAATAGTGTCGTTCTTTCACGGATCACGACTTAATATCCAATACCCCAGAACAAAATTTTTAATGTAGAATGAATAACAAATCTAATGAGTTATAGGCCACAAAATGAATACTTTATTGCGATCTACCGCAGCAATTGTTTCCTTCAAATTATTTTTTTTTTACAATGGAATTCATTTAATAATATACATAATCTAATAATCTTTAAGCAATTGTATTTTATTTGATTTTTTGAAAATTGAAACTATTGAATTTAAATATCTTATTACAAACTAAGTAATTAAAATTTGTGAATTTATACTCTATACTTCGCATTAGGATTTCTATATATCAGGTACATGTAATTCAGGAGCAACTAAGAAATTTTAAGTATAAACTGCTTCTTGGTGTGGTTAATGTATTGACATGTGTCTTGAGAATTTTCGACATTTTTCAATTTGATTTATAATTTCATTATATAATAATTTTAAAATAATTATTTGAGAATTTCTTCAATTCATTGTCCAATTCTTCAAAGGTAGGTCGATGAGTAGTCCCAACATTGCATAATTATTCTTGTCATGAGTGAAATGGAATTTCGGTCGTAGTTCTCTGTCATACGTATTATAATATGGTGCGACTTCATAAGCTATAATCCCAAAAGAATAAAACATCTGGTATATTCTTCCCCCAGATAATACCTAAGGTAATACTCCTAAAATATTGTATTAAAGTATAAAATTTATTTATCTCTTCAAAGTATGCCTAGAATAAGAAACGCTTGTCTCATGCTTGCGCCAATTGTAACATTTAAAGTCTTCTGAACGAATGTGTACAAATAATTGAACCTCAAAAAAAAAGTGGACTAAAACCATTCATCACAATCCATGGAATAAATTTTTTCATTAAATGAGATTAAGAAATCCAAAGTCTTGTGACGGTGTTTAAACAAAATTTTTTTATTTTGTTATCGCATAATTCCGACAAACAATAACTTTCACTCAATGAACCAACGACAAAGTTTTGTTAGATCATTTTAATCATCTGAAATAGAAAAGGAAAAGAAAGTTAGTAAGTTGCAAAATAATGCAAAATAAACAAGTTAATAATTCAGTTTTCGTTTCTTCCTTTTATCTTATTATATCTATTATTTTAAACCCTTGATCAAATTGATTATTACATTTATATTAATTTTTATATTCTCCCTTAATTATTTTATTAAAAAATGATATCTTTAAAATTTTTAAAAGAAAAGAATATACAAAAAAATGTGAATGGAAAACTACCGAAGAAAATGCACAGGCTGTAAATTTCGCGTAAGAATTGCAAGAATTTATTTTAAGAATTTAAAAAAACGCGGTAGAATACAAAAAGATAATTCAAATTCAAGAACAAAATGATATTTATCCATTCTATCAAAACTATGTACCAATTTTTTTTTATAACTAATTGTTAATTTACTAATATATTTGGTCTAGCAAGTTTATTATTCATGTAATTTAAGTGTAATTTTACGCAATGAATATTGTTTTCAAATTAAATTTAATAATTAGTACCCTATATCTGATATTTTAACTCATGTTTAATATACTGTATTTTTGACATACTGATCAACAATATGACCTACCGTAAATTATGAACCTAAAATGTTCCATCGGAAAATATTTTGACATTTATGATGATAAAATTGTGACTCAGAATTGTTTATTAATTATAATTTATTCGAATATGTTTTTTTTTTTTTTTGTTTTTGTTATCGCATATAATATACATAATTATTTATAGTTTGTCAAAAGGTTGAGAATTTTTTTTTTTTGTACTTTCGGCCGACCGCGTCTGTAATGGACTCGTAATATGCAGAATTCATTTATAGATGCGCAACGGTTGCATGTTTCAGTTATATCTCATTCGCACTTTCTTTTAACACGTGCACAATTGGTGCAAGCATTTTTTGTATATAATTTTCCTTTAGGCATTTTAGAAGATATCTTGGAAAGTTTATAATCAAATAATTGAATGGGTACAAATCAAAATAATTTGATCAAGAATAATGACCAAACCAAAAAATATTATGAAATGAAAATTCTATAAACTTAACAGAAAAGTGTCAAGGTGAAAAAGGGAAAAGGAAACACTTGATGTATTTATATTTTATATTGCAATATGCAAATTGTCAGTCGATTTTTATTACTTTAACACTGATAATCAATAACTTTCAACTTCAACGATACACGCGATTTAATTAATTGTCTTTATTCATTTATAAAATTCTAAATTCAGAATTGTACAACCTACCACAAATAATGTTTGCGTTTTGATACGTTTTAAATTAAACCATAAATGTAAATTAATTGATCGGAAATTTCAATTTGGGATCGATCTTATCCTAATTATCAATTATTGTTTATATTTTTTATGGAGCTAATGTGTATTTTTAGTATTTTAAGTTGCTCAGTAAGTATTAAATTTAAATTATTTAGAGTTTAAACTTTGAAATCCATTTTTGACACTTGGTCCAAGCAATAGCAACTTTTTACTAGTAATTTTCTTTCTCTAATCTAATAGCATTTATTGAATATGTAATTTATTTAAACTAAGATTACTTTTAGTTACTCATTTCAATAAGCATATTTTGTATTAATGTATGTGGTTCATAATTCCAATGACATAATTATTGAACGATCTTTACTTATAATTTCATATTAAACATTTCTCAAAATTAAATAATAATTGTTGGCCCATAATTAAAATATCACATTCCCAAGAAAATGAAAATATAATCATAATCAAAATCCATATAAAAAGTTAGTTAAACAA